GAGGCTTGGCTCTTGGAAGGATTCTAGGTTTGAGAGGCCTCTCCCCGGCGAGGACGTTCGCTCCGACGGGAAGGCTTGGCTTGCTTCGTGGCTGGATGCCGAGGGGGAAGCGGCTGCTGGGCCTGAGGCAGTGAAGGGAACTGTTGTTGATACTAGTACTAAGAAACTTGATGCAACACTTGTTGCTGGTAGAGTTGAAACTGCTGGAACTATTGCATTTGAGCTTGCATAGCTCGCATGCACTGCACCAGGTCTTCAAGCTGGTTTTGGTTGATCACTGGGGGAACAACAGAAGGTTCAGTGAATGTTGTTCCAACCATGGAAGGGAGTGGAGCGTTCACAGGTGCCACTGTCGGAGGCACATTCAGGCTGGGAACTCCGTCCACAGAGAGGGGGACGGTGAACTGTCCAATGCAGACAGTGGGGAGTTGAGGTTGCTCCCCAAAAGCGTTCTGGTCGGCACCACGTCCAACATTGCTAGTGGAAGCCATGAATGCTGAGCTCTTAGAGAAAGTTGCAGAGATTAGAGGAAGGCTTTTTGAAAAGTTTCCCACAGACGACACCAAATGATGTAGCGCGATCCGGACACTCCTAGCTGGCGGACGTCTGGCTCCTAGCTGGCGACGGACGGTACCTGAGAAGAGGAAGGTGAAGGATTCTCGGGGAGCTCGCCCAGTGGGAATACTCCGATGCTTAAGTTAGAACACTTGAGAGAGCTGTAAAGGATGCAAAGAAAGCTAAGAGTGCAGATAGCGCTAGATCAGTTCCATTTCATTACCCTCACCCCTTGGAAACCGAAGCCTTTAAATACAGATGTTCTTGTCAAATCGGGCATAACCGCCACTGGCCCTCTGTCGCAGCCGTTATTTGCCAGGGCTGCGCAGGTAACCGTTGTATAGTACTGCCCAATTAGATGAGAGACACGACCCAGAAAGGACAGACACGCCACCACCTGTCGAGAGACGTGGATGCAGTCTGCTGGGCTGGCAGGGACTGCGTCATCAGTCAGGAGACGTGGTGCAGTCTGACAGGTACGGTCTCGTCAGATAAGAAGCTTCCTGAAAATGCCGCGTCGCTCAATAGCGAGCTGCCTTGTAGCGAGCTGCCTTGTAGCGAACTCTTGGAGGTATCCCGAGGTGATTCCACCTAAGGTTGCCTTTGGGGCAGTCCTCTTGCTTAAGTATTGGAGCGAACTGATTCTCTCAGCCCGCAAGCAGGGATAGACTTAGCTTGGAGTATTCCCTTTCAGCATACTAGGGTCCTTGAGCTCGCGTTGTAGCGAGCTCGTTCCGTGGCGAGTTGTAATGTAGCGAGCTGACCTACGAGGACTTTAATGAGCTCGTTACTCTCAATTGTAGTCAGTCTGTCATGCTGAGTTGTTGCTTATGTTGAGCCACGTCCATGTGTCGCCTTCTTAGGAGGTCGGGTCAAATCACCCTCCATCAGATATAATATCCAGAAAATATCTGACCAATCAACTGGAATAATAGACATAGTAGCGAATTAGGTATAATTTATCGAAATTCATGGATGGATTTTAATTGGTCAAAACTCTTTCCATACCATATCTTTCCCGCATCATAGATTTTAATATGGGTCAAAATGCAAGATTTTTATTATATATTTCTAAAAAAAAATTTAGAACCTATTTATATTTTATATTAATATATTTATATTTTAATATGGGTCAAAACGCACACGAATTTTTATTTAAACGAACTTTAACCATTATTTAACAGAACTTTTACCATGTTTTTATTCTTAATTTTAAATTATATACCAAATTTTCTATATTTTATTTATGTCGATACACAATGTATTCACTAACTGCTCTTCTGGTCTTCTTAACCATTGTCTTTCTAGTATCATAGATTTTCCCTATTTTAATTGTCTTCTTATGTAACAATTAATGAATTATTTTTATTGAACTCGGGAGTATTGTGGTTTCAATTGACACGCTGATATTAGAAACTTGACTTTGAACTCGATCGAGTTTTTTAGTTTCACACTCAAATTCGACTCAAGTTGATATTTGCGAGTTACTCAAATCGACTCAAAAAACCTTGGAGCTTGAAACTCGACTTGAGTTGATATTTTATGAGTTACTTGAGGACTCGGCTCAAGTTAATATAAATAAATTGTTATTAAAAATTATAAATAAATTAATATTAAAAATAAAAATATATTGTGAAACTTGATTATAAATTTATTTATTTATATCATAAATAAATTAGTATTCATTTATATTATAAATATAAATATATTGAAATTAATATTTTATTAGTAGCTTGATTAAACCTATGAACTACTCAAATCGGATATTATGAAACTCGAATCGAACTCAATTCGATTCAATGATCTTCAAACCGAGTCCGAATAAATCAGGAATTGACTCCCTCGCTTAGACGTTAGACCCCTACCCGACGACCTTGACGGAAAATTGGAATGTATTCTTGTGTTTCAACTTTCAATTTCAAGCCCAAACTACATTTTTGATATTAGCGCGGCGCCAAAACCGTGAAAGGTGAAATGAAGTTCATGGCCGTCGATGCATATAACGTGGCTCCCATATTGAATTAGAAGAAGTAACTGTCGTATGGCTGGGTTAAAACAACCGAGATCGGATCTGCTCTTCACACCTTGCGCTTCACTGGCGCCTCACATGTACATCTTATCATATATTAGAAACATCTTCCTTATTTATTACCAAATATTCATAGGAAATGTTTTCAATGCATAGTGAATGTATTTCTGAGGCGCCTATTTGTGAGGAGCAGATCATAAACAGAATGGCCTTGCATCAACTGCAGTGGCCCCACCAAGAAATCAAAAGTTTTGATTTACTTGTTTCAGTGCAGGGGCGTAGCAAATGTGGGTTGCGGTCAATGCGTACTAACCGTATTTCAATCACTACGATCTACGCCGGTGGAAATCCCTGGGCTAAAATCAACAAATCACAAACCTTTCATGCAGATGCAGTGCATTGCTCTGTGACTCCACCTTACGTCTTACGTCTTACGTCAACTCAACCAATTCATTCAGGGTGAAGCCAGCGATACATTGAGGTTTTGTGTTCCTGTTAATGGTTGGAGGATAAGGGTTTAAAGATGAGAACATGAGAGTTTAGAACTTTCTGTCAATATTTAGTTAGATTTCTTTGCACAAATTTTATATTTATTAATTTTTATCAATCATAACCCGCAGTAAAACTTCAGCCGGTCACCGGTGACGACCAGTCTAACACCGAAAGACGTGTCAAAAGTTTAGTGGACTCGAAGAGAAAATCCCTTCGAGTCTAAACGCACTGAATCCGAACTGGCTGTTCAAACCAACTTTGCTCTGACTGAATCCTGATTCTCGCCAGACTCGCCACCCCTACCCCACGGGGGCTCGCATCCTGTGAACCCATGAATTCACGGAAAGCGTGACCCTCCAGTAAAAAGGCGTACACATCACCTCATTGGTATTAACAACAAACTAACGGGGTTCTGCCGTTAACATTCACTTGATTAGTTGAACCGGCCACTATCAGAGACAGTGGGGGTAGAGGTGGCGACTGGCGAGGGGTTGAACCCATGAATTCACGATTCACCCTCCCCAGTTCAATCAGCCGAATGAATGTTAATGTCCAAACCCTGCTAGTTTGTTGTTAAAACCAATAAGGCGACGTGTACACCTCTAACTGGAGGGTCCACGCTTCCCGTGACACCATGGGTTCACAGGATGCGAGCCCCACCCTCACATGCACTAGTGAGTATGGAAATGGCCATTATGTCCTAATTTGATTCGCTATACCTATGGCTATGTGTAACATATTCATCGGAATCGGACGGTCATCTTTTCTGACCCTTTTATTCCAACTCCATCCACATATACATATAATAGATCCAGAATTCCAGATAAGCATGCTATAAGCATTTAATTCGGATTTGGATTCACCCGGATCACTCCCCGAAAACCGCCTAGATTAGTAGTATAGGCCGATCCTTACCTTGGGGCTCGCTCCGCCTCCGCCTCCGACCCTCCCCCCCACACACCTATTTTAGGTTCTCTCCCTCCCTGACCAGTGACTCCCTCTGCATTTTATTATTCTGTTCATTAAGAAATTAAAAAAGAAAATTTCACTTCTTCTCTTAAACTTGGTCTCTTTTCGAGGGAGGAGGAGTGGCCAAAGGACGCAAGTTAAAGAGATAGATCCACATCTAGTAGCCTAGAGATAGAAATCCATGAAAATGGGGGACGACAGAGAAGCTTTGTTGAACAGAACTCCCAGAACGAGAGCGAGGTCCCTTACGCGTTGCTTTTCTAACCCAAGAGATGAACTGCAGAGCTTTAGATCGTGGCTTAGATATATGTGCGTCGATCAGTCTAATACCTGTACCACCTTTCTCTCTTGGACTTTCTTCCTATTCATGAACATCGTCGTACCGCTTATCACATACTTCTTCCTCGCCTGTCGGAGTTGCGATCACAAACATCGACGCCGTTTCGACGGGGTTGTTCAACTCTCTCTATCTTCCGTTGCCACTGTCTCCTTCCTCTGTCTCTCTGCCTTTATTCGCAAGTACGGTCTTCGCAGGTTTCTCTTCCTCGATAAGCTTTGCGATGAGAGCGAGAAGGTTCGACACGGTTATATACAGCAGCTCAATGTATGTTTCTTCCTCTTCTTTCCATCTTCGTGATTTTGTCTCCAGCCAATCCGGAGTCTTAATTAGCTGAGTTATCAACCCAACATCTCTGAATTGAGTTTATGAAATTTTGATAAATATTATCATTGAATATTGGGGAACTTGCTTACCAGAAATAAAAGAATTCTTCTTTTTCTTTTTTAATTTTTAAGCTAGGTTGGATTTTTGGCTTAAACAATCCCCTTTTTTTTGTTTACGTTTTTAATTTCTGGGTTTTTGGATTCAAATAATTGGGTGTCTGGTTCTTTCCTGCTTAATTTCATGCTGTACTAAGGATGTTGAAACTCAGAGAAATGAATTGAAAAAAAGAGAGAAAGAAACAAATAGAAGGCTCATGCCCAAGAGCAAATTCAGTTTAATAAAAACTGCAAATTTTCTCAGTTTTTGCTTCAAAGATCACATTTTCAGCCAAAATCCTCCATTTTCTCAACGAATTAACCACAAAATCAATCTGCATCAGACCCGTTCAACCACACATTTGGAGCTCAAGTATAAAATAGAATTCAACGTAAACAAGTAATATAAATGATGATGCTGCAATCCTCCTTTTTCAGAATTAATTGTGGTAGAGAAATCTTCTTTTTCCTTCTTTTTTTTTTGTTTTATAATCTATAGTTTGATCAAGAACAAAAAAACAACAATTACTTCTTTGTCATGATCTTATCTCATTTGTCCAATTAAAAGTGAAACAAAGACTTCTCTTTTAAGCTTCTACGCCTGTAAGAAAAGGATCAAAGATCGAATGCAGACAAAGTAATTAACAAGTCTCCAAAATATATCTTCTCTGGAAAAGATCTGTCTTCATTTTGTTGTTTAATCATAAAACAGTTCAATCAGTGAGAAGTGGGTCATCACTATAGTGTCAACTTTAATTTATTTATTCTTGAAAAAAAAAATTATTAGTATCATCAGCAACTAAAAAGAAGCAAATTAAATTAAATTAAATATATATGCAACGCAGAAATCATTGAAGATGCTAGCCGTGTTCGTGGTACCAAGCTTCGCGGCGGAAAGCAGCTACAAGATATGGTGGTACAGCTCCGGGAAGGCCGGTATCCCATTCCTGATAAACATTTACGTGAGCGACACCTTGGCATGCGCGCTTGAGCTGTGCTCGTGGCTCTACCGGACCTCCATCTTCTTCCTGGTCTGTGTTCTCTTCCGCCTCATCTGCTACCTCCAGATTCTGAGGATCCAAGACTTCGCCCAGGTGTTCCAGAAAGAGTCAAATGTGGGTTTGGTGTTGAAGGAGCACCTCAGGATCAGGAGGCACCTACGCATCATAAGCCATCGCTTCCGTGCCTTCATCCTCTACACCCTCACCCTCGTCACGGCGAGTTTATTTGCTTGCCTCCTCGTCACCACCCGTGCCCACGCCAATGTCACCATCCTCAAGTCTGGAGAACTCGCGGTATGCCAACATCTCTCTGATCTCGCCACAGTTCCTATGTATTATTTTGATCGATCGACAAGAGTAGATGAGACATGACCAACCATATAATACTAATTTGGTTAGAGACCTGGGCTGTGTATATGTGTGTGTGTGCAGATGTGCTCCATCACGCTGGTGACGGGGCTCTTCATATGCCTGCGCAGCGCCATCAAGATCACGCATAAGGCACAATCTATCAAGTGTCTTGCCGCCTTGTGGCACGTATTCGCTACAATCGACTTCTTCGATGGTACCGACAGCCACACACCGACGTCTCAGACCCCTACATACAGCAAGATATTCCCGTCCGACGGTAATGATGAACTGGACGATGAAGAAGAGGATAATGACGGCGATGATGATCTGGATAACATCAATATCATAGTTCCAGCTTATGCTCACACCATCTCCTTCCAAAAGAGACAAGCTCTTGGTGAGTTTTGCACAAAAAAAAAGAAAGACTAATGACCATCACTCCTCAACTTCAACCCAACCCAACTTTATTGAGTTGAGTGTGGAATGTGGATCTCTACAGAACAACATGGGCTTCGGGCCCCCTTCAAATTTCAACAAATGCTCAAGCCAACTCCACGTCTCCACCCAAGTTGAAACATAAACGTGGATGAGAACAACTCTGACGGAGGGAAGACTTTAATCTTGAGTAGGGTTCAGTGCTACTACTAGTAGCCAAAAACCCAAAACTTTGCTCTCGAGAATAATATTACAACATAAAATAAAATACAATAAATAATAATAATAACAGTATAAAATTAATTAATATAAGTGGATAATTATTGTTTGTTTGCATATATATGCGTTGGTTAGACACCTGTCATTTGTTGATTGTTAATCAATTAATATTGAGAAAAAAATGGGTGCAGTAACGTATTTTGAGAACAACGGAGCGGGGATTACGGTTTACGGGTTCCTTCTGGATCGGACTTTTCTCCACACAATTGTTATGGTCGAGATGTCTCTCGTGCTCTGGATACTAGGCAAGACTATTGGCATTTCTTAATTAATTTCATTTTTCTTTTAGGAAAAAAGAAACATGTTAAGATGTAATGACGTAACAATGATTATTTTTCTTTTTCTTTTTTTTTGTCATTTACATTTTTTATTCTTTTCTTTTTATTTATTCATTTTTCATTTTTCATTGCTTGTGTCAATGTGAGCATAAACAAGGTACAGTTTTGTTTGAGAAAATTTTATCTGTATAAGAGAGAGATGGGCTCAACCCTGAACAGAAACATGGAAGGTTGAAGATTTTTCTACGCAAGACAAATAAGAATGTTTCAACCTAAAACAATCAAGTGAGAATGAAGGTAAGAAGAAAGATACACCAATGTGTTCTGGTTTAAGCCTGAAAGATGAAAGATTTGTTTGGTGTCATGCATATCTTGTGTTCCAGTGGATTCTACAACATTCAACACACCACAGGTAACAAGTGTTTCTGTGTTTTTTTGGATGCATGGTTTATAGTTCTGGAACAAAAAAATTGTTGGTTTTCAGCAATTTCCTCATTTTTTTTTTAACATTTAAAAATATTTTTGGATAATTCTTTTTTGCATATGAGCACTTGCAAAAAATATTTTGTTCCAAAATATTTATCTTGAAAACATAATATCTATAATATGTGTGATTCCATCAAAATCATTATTTTGAAGTGAGCCTTGATGTCTTCTCCTCAATCACACCACACATTAAAAACACCCTCTTTCAATTTGAAAATGCATGGACATAGATAACTTAAAAAATCTCAAAAATATATCAATAAAACTAAATTCAATGCTAAAATAGCCATAAATCAAGGAATAAATACATCAGAAGACATAGTTTATCTGAACTATGAATTAAAATTATTAGAAAAGGGTAGGGCAATTAAAGCATACATATATGCAAGTTAATAAATCTATACTACTTTAAAAAGTATGAATAGCCTCAATAATATTTCTGGAATTTTTTGAGGAAAAAATTTACCCCTCCATATTTAAATTTTTTTATAAAAAATATGGCAAATATGGTAATTGATTATTGATATTAAATGACTTGAAAATAGGTAATTTTAAGATATTCAATGCATTCAACTCCCTCTCATTAAATCCAACATTTAAGGAATTAACTTGCATTCACCTTCATTGAATCATATATTTAGGGCATTTTTTTTTCTCATCATTAAATTCTATTAATTAAATCAATATATAATAAATTAATAATTTCAATAACATAAAAACTTATACTTTTAAAATATATCTTGAAAAAAGCGTTTTCATCTAGGTGGTGGTGAGAAATTAAATCATTTTCAGTCAAATGGGACAATCCATGTTGTCACAAATTCACAATTAAATAATAAAATTCAAAAATAGATAAAATGCAAAAAAATATATATAGAAATTAAAAATCAACCTAGAAATGAAATGATGACATGGTCAAATAATATCATTTTTAAAAATAAAAAATAAGACCACAAAAATAAAAATATAAAGAAACATTTGGGCACATATCTAGTGTTATATATTTATAAAAAAATAAATATTGGGTACATATCTAATATTATACATTCATTATATTGAACAAAAATTTGTATTATACATAAGAAATAATTTTATCAATGATGGAGATATAATACAAAGTTTAATGTCAACATAGAAATCACACTATTTTTCTTTTTGGGTGGTGGGTTAGTGGTTTGGATCAAATGGATTAATCGATGATATGATAGCTAAATAGTAAATCTTTTGAAAAAAAATAAAAAAGTACAAGTAATCAAAAGAATATATAAAAAATTATATATTAATTATGTCAAACAAAAATTAAGTATGATAAATAGAAATTATTTATATAATGTAGATGAAATATATTACTTAATTTTTTTTTGAAAATATATATTACTTAAAATTAATCAGAAAGCAAAGCTATTTTCTTATTTAAATGGAGGGTCAATGGTCCAACTTTTTAAAGTAACTCATGATGTCATAATTGAATAATAAATATTTAAAAAAAGATAGAGCATAAAAAATAAAAAAGTGTAGAATTTTGTCAAAAGCATTTGGAAACATTTCTAATGTTCTATATTCATCATATTAAATAAACATAATTGTTAAAATATAAATTGTTTTTATTTATGATAGAAATGGAATACAAAGAGTTAATAATAATAATAAATAGTGTCATTATAATTTAAAATTCCCACGTGCAATGCACGTGCACATTTACAACAAGCATTTAAGTTTAGTTTTAGTTATATTGTTACTTTTGTTAATTTTCAATTTATATATTAACTATGATGTATCTAAAATCTAAGTAATTAATATAAAGAAAAAATTCTTCACATACTTAATTACTATAGTACAAAAAAAAAAGAAAAAAAAAGCTGCATTTAAATCATTACCAGAAAACCCATTTTGACATGATGACCTACCCACTTTGATATCTGATAAGGTAGTTAAGTTGATGTCTACTAGAATAGTACTATCTCTACCATATTTAATCTCTAAACAGTTTTTACTAATTTCACTAAATATCTTTAAAAAATAGGGCAAATTTTTTTAAACAACCCTTATGATTTAGCCAATTGACTGATATATTTTTCAAAAATCTTTAGAATACCTTTCTGTCACGGAGAAATCTCTTATAGAGTTTCAAATCAAAAACAAGGGAACCAGCCTTTTTCTTTCTGAACTGTGGGACAAACAAGTGTTTGGGTTTTTTTTCTTTATTTCCAGTTTCTTCTTGGACAACTTCTAATAAGCCTCTAGGAGACGAAATGTGTACGTAAAAAGGCCTGAGGATGAGGGAAATGGAATCTAACAATATTTTTTGCCTTTTTTTCATAGAAATTACAAGAATGCCACCTCTCCTACCAACCCTCTCTCTCTCTCTCTCTTGATTTTTTTTCTTTCAAATTACAAGAATGCCACTCTCTCTCCTACCAACTCTCTCTTTTTCTTACAAATTATAAGAATGCCATCTCTCTCTCTCCTTCCATCTCTCTCTCCTTATAAATTACAAGAATACCACTCTCCAACTGAGAAATACCTCAATTCGACATCTTGGCTGCTAGGGGACCTGCAATCAAAGGTAGTTGAGTTTGAGTCGAGTCGAGCTCTAACTTCTGAGCTCAAACTCAAGTCTCTAATTCGAATCGAGCTCGTGCAAGACGACACCTCGACCATTACAGGAGACCTCGACTTTGCACCTTAGTCACTGAGGGAGATCTTGGCTCAGCACTTTGACAACTGAGGGAGATCTCAACTCGACACCTTGTCAACTTACAAGGAAAAAATAATATTAACAAGATTAAAGAGAAGAGACGTTATTTTAAAAAATTTTAGGCATCTCACATGAAGAGATTGAGAGGCAGATTGAGAGACTCGTACTCGGAAATGAAACTTTGAACGGAAGAGAGAGAGCTGGGATCGAAAGCCATGACAACGATCTTGTATTGGGAAAGCTCAGCCAAGATACGAAGCCTTGGCTTTGTCGGTAGTTTTCACGTTGCGAGCTGGGAGGACAAGCCTGACGCCACGTTTCACTAAAACTCTACCGTCTCAACTCCGATCCCTGAAGTGGCACCAAGTAACCATTATTTAACAAAGTCAGAATAAGGGCCGAGACAGGAAATTTTTATAAAGAGGACAAAATCTAAATGAAGTATGGATGGATTCATAAGAAGGTAGAGAGTGGGGAGGGAAAAATTTACATAGAAAGCTGTATTACGGTGGAGATTTTCTGAAATATAAAGGGGGCATGGCTCCTGGCTCCGCCCGGCCGGATACTAACATATACACATGAGAGGATATTAATTCATATAGCATCGGAACAGGCTTTAGGTGACCTGATCGGCTGTCGACTTGGAGCTAAAGCCGCTTGTGCAGACGGAACCGAGGAGGTATTTTACTGTTTCAAGCATTTCACTTTGCCTCTTGATTTCTTATCTAATTTATGTATATTAAACTTCGCTTGGACTTCTATACTTTGTTCAACTTGAATATTTTTGTGGCTCGGGGGATTTGGAGATATAGAAATGAATTTTGTTTCAGATGGGGAGTGTGAGCTTTGCAGGTTAATTGCAACGTGCAACACAATAGAAAAAACGAATAGAAGAAAGAAGGGATTTTTTTAGACTGCACTCTACCTCATAATTCTGATTTGAATTATAGACCTACAATAATTTAAAATTATAAATAGTTCCATCTATAACACCATACCCGTCCATGAATTAACATCAATTTTAACTTGACACCTACCCCACCCGTATGGTGGAACTAGAAATTCTGGGGGTGGGCTGAACAGTAAAAACCCCAAAGAAGAAAGGGGGAACAGGGTGAGGAACGAAGAGTAAGAATTATGAGGGATGGGTATTATATAGTTGGGAGATGGGATGCAAGAGACGAGAGTGGAAGAAGAGATGGAGATGAGATTACTTGTTTGTCATTGGTGGACAATGGATGTAGCGATATCATGGTAGTGGCAGTAGCGAGATATGACAAATGCAGATGACTGAGAACTGAGGAAGGTTTTTAAAAATTTTCGTTAATTGAGTTTTGTTTTGAAATTTTGAAGAATAATGGAGACAAATTTTACATTTTGCTTTTTCCATTAATATTTAACGACCACAGTAAGAGTATTTTAAGATAATATTCAAATAATGAGGGTAGAGTTAATCAATTAACTAAACCATATGGATAATTTAAGAAATTTGTCCTTTAAAATAAGAAAATTAGACTTTAACAAAGTCAGTCTAACTGCATTAGTTAATCAACTAGAAGACTCCATCCAGTCCAAAAGACGGATGGTATTGTACAGAATTTTTTGAAGGTGATATCGTACAGAAAATGATAAAATTATTTTATTGTCGAAAAAGGTTTCCCCTCAATAAACACAAACAAACTGGTTACTGAAACGAGCTTGCTGGAGTTAAAAACTGAAATAAATAAATAAATAAATGCAAAACGCTGACACACACACACATCCATCAAGTAAACTGCTCGAGTGGTTATTAGGTTATTCAGCTTCGTTTAGTATAACAAGTATTAAGAAGATAAAATTGGTAACATCACATTAACCAGAATCCAAGCAAAAGTGAATTACATTCTGAAGCAATAGAAAGAAAGGTACTAAACGGAAAATGCTACAGTCTTGATGGCATTCCTCCAGCTACAATCAATGTCTCTCCTGTTATGTAAGACGCATCATCAGATGCCAAGAAGGCTGTGGCTGCAGCCATGTCTTCGGTGGTTCCAAGCCTACCAAGTAAGGTCCTCTCCTCAAGATGCTTTCTCTGCAACCAAAAGCAAACCATGTTTAACATGTGGGAATAATGTGGAATTGGGGAACTCAACCTCCTGTAGAGAAACATAGAATGAGGAGAAAAATTTTGAAAAAGCGAGTTCAGGTCTGCACCCCACATGGGGGTGCCCCACAACGTCCCATAGCACATCATCAGTTCTGGTACTATTATCAGGAGATGTTCCCAAAACACGGGAGGGATGTGCTGTGGGACGTAGTGGGGTGCCCCCTTGTGGGGCGCAGATGTGAACTCTTGAAAAACAGCGAGCTGATAAAAAAATATTTGAAAAACAGCGATCCACACTTGTACATAAATTATGTTTTATGTAAAACAATATGGGCACGATTGAAGGATAGAGATACACTTACTCTATCTTCATCTCTTGTGAGAAAATCAGCGAAGTGGGTAGGTACAAAACCAGGAGCTATACAGTTGACTCGGGTATCTGGAGCCATCTCAGATGCAAGAGCCTAAGAGACAAGTAAATTTCTGTTGGCATATCATTAAACATTTTATGCAAACAGAAAGTAGATTTCTCTAATCCTGAAAGTAAAAATCAGATACTAAATGAGAACATTCGATTAATTAGCTACCTTGGTTAACCCAAGAAGAGCTGTTTTTGTCACTCCATACATGGCCATTGATGCCGGTGGTTGATAGCCTGCAATGGATGAAATCAAAACAACTGATGATCCCTTCGACAGGTGTGGTGCTACATCCTGTAATGGCACTGAAGTGAATCTTGATATCTTCATAGAAAACAAATGAGGTACCAAAGTAACAGCTTGCCTGAAGCTACAATGTGACCAAACCATTCAAGACGTCCTATCGAAAAGATTTACCATCATAAACAATCAATAGGATCAAATTATTCTAGCCATATTACTAAAAGTTTGTCCAACCATTTATTTCTTAATGTTCAAAAAAGCAATTAATAGAATAATTATAATCTGATCATGGTAGTTCTTGAATCATTAGATAATTTAATCGGGGCCAACATCACCATTTACATAATGGCCTCTCTATGAGTGGCACAGGTTATGTATCACGTGTATAATATATTCCTGCTATGCCATTCCACATTTCTACTATCCTTATAACCTGATAGGAGCCTTAAAATCACCTTTAGGAGAAGTATGGTAGCTTTGACATTGATTTCCCAGAGCTTATCAAGGACAGATTCTTTAGTTTCCAAAATAGCATCTATAGCTGGATTGGCAGCAGCATTTGATACAAATACATCTATTTTCCCATATGTCTGCAACCAAGTCAACAAGCTCTGATCATGAAGCAGAAAACCAAATCCCAACAATAATAGATAAAGAGAATACTATCATCAAGATTATGAGTTAGTCTACACAGCACATGCACGAGTCCATGCACTCATAGACACAACCATGGAGTCATAACCTACAAACCAATTACCATAGCCACATAAAAGGATAAATGAAGCAGCAAGAAAGAAGACCATCTCTTAGCTTCTCCACTCATGATCTATAAGATATAAACTAAAACTCAAAAAATGAAATCTAATTCTCCTGTCATTAAATCAGATGCTCCAATTCACAACTTTGTGTCATCTAGTAGAGAACTCATATTTATATTCTAAGTGGGGACCTCTTAGGAAGCCTATTCTTTTCTCCCCAAAAGTCATAAGGGGAAGGAAAAAAAAGCCAAAACAATAAAAGGTAATTAATGCAAAGAGAGGCCATTTGACAAGGAGCGCTTTGAATCAATATAAAGCCTAGATCAGTAACCTGAGCAATGCCTTTCACACACACACACACACACATACTGATTCTCAGAACAAAGGTTGGTCATCTCTTTTCATATCTTGCAACACTCGTGCATTTCTCAATTATTCAGGTTCATTTTCTAAGTTAAGTGAAACACCCAGAAATCTTTTGTCCTTTATTCAGGTTCATTTTCTAAGTTAAGTGAAAGTGTGAAACACCAGGAAATCCTTTGGGATCGTTATGAAATGCATGGCCATATTCAAAAGAATATATTTGTATTCGAGGAAACCATCAATCCGGCAGGAATAGTCAAGACCTACTGAATTCAGATTTTTCACTTTAATAATAAGAATCTAGAATTTTCTCCCCCATTCAGTAGACAGAGATAAAACAACAGTTTTACTTGTTAAAATTGGTCTGGGCACAATAACAAAAGCAGAAGCTACAGAAGTAGGAGTCAAAGTGGGCGAGCTGCTACAAAGCCTACAACCGTAATCATGTGATCTTACCAATCCATAAAAAAGGGACGAAATTTTAACAAGAGTAAGGGGTTTGGACATCATTTTGTAATTACTGAGCTTAGCTCAAAGAAAACAAATAATGACAAAATAAGATGTAGAAGGCATGTTTGAATCCTAAAATATCATAACTCTATTACTCGCTACAAGATACATTTTCCGAGTAAAAGAAGGAAAAAAGAGTCGAACTAAAAAAAAAGAAGGAAGCCTTTGCTTCACCCCATAAGGTAAGTTCATCTTGAAATGAAAGAAGAAAATCAGAGCATGAACCGTTTTATTCCCAAAATTAAATCCTGAATACTAGAACAGAGAAAAAAAGATAAAAAGAAATGTATTAATGACTTCTATTACCTGAACAGTCTTCTCTATGAGGTTCTTCCTGTGCTGGGCATTCGAAACATGGCAAACAACCCCTAATACGTCGATTCCTCGAGCTCTAAGCTTTTCAACTGCCTTATCTACGTTGTTCTGCACAAACCCAACCAAGCCTAGATGAATTCACCCTTGATTTATCCGGATAGCAGGAAAATGGGGGAAATTTCTACTTTTTGGATAAACGCAATTGAACTCAAAAATTTATCTGAACAAAAAAGATCAAAACAAAAATAATAATAATAATAAACCACGAACCTGCTTGCGAGAAGAAATGACAACAGAAGCACCTTCCAAGCCAAGTCTCTCGGCGATGCTGAAACCGATCCCCTGTGTGGACGCAGTGACGATGGCTACCTTCCCTTGGAATCGCCTCCCTATCTTCTCCATATTTTCTTTTTAAGTGCTCGTTATTGGTATCAGATCAGACTATCAAAGAGAACTCTGAACTCTGGGAGAATACAAGGGTTAATAATAATTTGGTCACCCTGTTACAGATTAAGACAATGAGGCTTGCACGGATCGAAGTCTTCTGCAATATAGCGCTACGGATGGTATGACCTGTCCTTCTGATTGGACAGGTCCCACCACTTATTCCAATCAGATGGTCATCAAAGAGGACACTGGACTAATTGACAATTGTATGTAGGTATCAGGGAGACCGGATCTACTTCAGCAAATGAAAGTGGATTAACTACTAGTGTGAATTACCAAATCAGCCCCCCACAACGTCCGGGAGATGCTCCCAATAGACGGCGAGGATGTGCTGTTGGACGCTGTGGGGGGGCTGATTCTATGTCCGGATGCAGCCCGGATTTCCTACTGATCTGCTGTCCTTCCTATAATCCTATTAACTCAATGACACGTCTCCCCCCCACAACGTCCCACACACATCCCGCCGTGTATTGGGAGCATCTCTCCATCATGATATATTGATTCTAATACTATTATTAGGAGATGTTTCCAATACACGGCAGCGATGTGCCGTGGAACGTCCCTTTGTGGGGTGAAGATGTGAACTGCAATGAAAGGGTGATAATCGCCTTCCACCTTGACACGAAAATACAACGGCGGCGATCAGAGCTCATTTCCTTCCAGAGTCCTCCCTTTTCTCGTCCCCTTTGTTGTTCTCTCTCTCCCTCTTCCCTCCCATTTTTCTTTTTTCTTTCTCTTTAGCTACTGCTCATCATCTTCTCGACGAGAACAGAAACTCAACAATGGTATTATCTTGGCATAGGAGATCCGGACTGAGATTGGTGACACATCTGAGAATGTCAAAATTGAAAGTTCAGAGGTTTGGGAAGGATATGAATAAAACCAAGTAGAGGAGAATATCTAGAACTTGTCATCATGTAGATGATGTAGTTGACCCTTCTTAGTCTTTTTTCTTCACAACCCACATACCAGAGAAATGCAAGATAATGACAAAAGAGACGTAAAGAAATGAGAGAAGATAAGCGAAAAAGAAGCAAAAAAAAAAAAAGGTTGCAAGTTGGATCGGGATTTACTTGAGTTATGCTCTGCCCGATGTTAGATACTGCAACAGAGGAGACTTCACTGTTCTCCAAACTACTCATTCCAATGTTGAATACATATCGCCTTGCAATCGAGAGTTGATGGAATGACAATATTTGTCGTTCAAAGTTGAGCGGAGTGTGATTTTAGTCGGGGAAAGCTATTGCTAGTGCTGCTCAACTAGTAGAAGAATATGTTTGGCATAATAGTGCTGATAGATGCATCTACTCAAAATTCACTGAAAATTATGGAGTAATTGTATGTCTTTATGTTGAAGATATGTTTATTGTGGATACGAATATGGTTGGCATAAATGAAACTAAAAACTACTTATCCTCTGTCTTCRAKATGAARGATTTAGGAGAAGTAGATACCATCTTGGGAATAAAAGTTAAAAAGCATAGTAGGGGCTATGCATTAAGCCAACCACATTATATTAAGAAAGTACTTGAGAAACTTAAGCATTTAGGGTTTAAAGAATATAGCACGCCATATGATTCTAATATAAAGCTAGTAGAAAATACTGATAGAGCAATTGCACAACTTGAGTATGCTAGTGCAATAGGAAGCTTGATGTATGCTATGCTTTGTACCAGACCTGACATTGCATTTGTAGTAAGTAGATGACGGAGTTGGCTGATCTGCACAAAGATAATTAGAGAACCACTCCGATGCTTAAGTCAGTAATTTGCGAGCTGAAGGTAGTTTAGAAAGCAAGAGAGCTAGTAAGCAGAGATTACGTGTATCCTTGCCCCCTAGAGGATTGGGGTCTTTATATACTGGAGTCCTCGCGGATTTTTCGGAGTGGTTCCAGGATTATTGCTATGATGAGGCCTGTTTCCATATTAGTAGGAGATAATGCCAATAAGGCTTATCGCTTCCGCCCGATTTGGACGGGGGAGATAAGGCTAGCTGTTACGAGGTGTGATCTCGTAAAGCGTGGAATCTGGTGGCGGGATCTTCAGGATCGTCGTGTAGAGGTCGCTCAATATTACCCGAGCTAGTGCCCTTAGGATCCGACCTGGTATGAATGCCGAAGTGTCTTGTAACCGAGGTGATCCTGATGCAACCGTGTTCCGAAGCTAACTTGCTTCGAGGTGGACTTGCCCCGAGGTGGTTTGATTATTCGAGCTTGGTCCGTCGCAGACTTGGTACGTCAGGAAAAGCTATCGTCCTGTCAGTTAGGTCGTGTCCACGTGTCCCCTTATTACTAGATCGGGCCAAATCACCCTACATCAATTGCCCCCCACTCCTTGGGCCAGGGGTCCTGACCTGGTGCGGGGAGTTTATGACGAGCCAAGTGGATTTGGTTCGAGGACCGGGCAGCTAGTCAGATGAATCGTGGGTCGGACTTTGTTCGGCCACTCGGCTCAACCAGGAAAACTCAGGTCGCATCTGGTTTACGTTCAGACGTTACGCGATTTATAAACTCCGTGAACGTCAAAAAACGCGCTAAACCGATTTTATCATCGGGGATCGCGCAACCGATTTTCCTACAAGCCGTTGGATTGCTTCGATCTCAATCGTTGGTTCTCGGACATAAAGGCTATAAATAGGGGGGTCCACGACTTATTCTTCTTGCAACAAATTCAGTGATTGAGCTCTCCCGTGGTCACATCGGAGTCTGCCAGCTTGGTCTTCTTTATGTTTTCCACTTCGCTCTTTCTCTTTGGTGAGTCCCCATTCCTTAGTTTTTTCCTTCTTTCCGATTATGTCGAGTTCTAGCGTAGATAGGCTTGTAGATAATTTTAATGAGGTGGAGGACGCTGTTGTTCCTACCGGAGAAGTCAGCTCGCGGCAGGGTGCCTCCCCTCTCCGGTCTTTAGAGGGAACCTCTAACCCTGAAGTCGAGCCATCTCGGCTCGGGGAAACCGAAGCTCAAGAAGAAGGTCCATCCTCCAGATCGGGGGCTCTAACTTCTTCCCGAGGTCGGGATCCCGATGACTTCGGGACTTCCAAATTGTCTTCAGACAGACTGTTGTACTTAGTGTCCCGCTATCTTTTCCCCGATAACTTAGTCTTTAGCATACCCTTAGGTCAGTACCCTTGGGCTCATGATCACAATGAGCTCGCTATTTTTGAGGAGCAGCTCGCGGCAGGGCTGCGGTTCCCACTCCATCCTTTCCTGATAGAAGTAGTTAAGTTTTACAACATCACCATTGACCAGCTTCATCCGAACTCTATTCGGAATATCATTGGCACTATTTCTCTGTTCCACTCCTACGGCAGACCACTAACTCTGGATGTTTTCAGCTTGATCTGTGCGATCAAGCGAAATTCCACATGTTTGCATAGGGATGTCAGACAGAGCTACTATATCTCTCCCAGGCCCGATTTCAAAATCTTGCACGGTTGTCTGAACAAGGTTTTGGCCTGGAAAAGGTGATACTTCATTGCTCGTAACCCGGAAGGGTGGTCTTTCCCAACCCACTGGAGGGTGGCTACTCAGGACCCCGGGGTGAGCTTGGACAGAGAGACCAAGGCGGTGATCAACTCATGGAGGGACCCCGGGCTTGAAATGAAAAACTTCTTGGCCGAGGACGCGCTAGTGCGAGCTGGTTTGAGCCCTCTCGATAGGTTTCCTTTCGGATATTTGCTTAAAATACCCTTTAAGTTTTTTTGACTAACTGTTTGTTTTTTGCAGTTACAATGCCAGAGGTCAATGCGGAGAGCCTCCTGAGGAGCTCCCAGAAGGGGAAGAAGCGGAAGGCCGTGAAGAGGCCTCACCGGGAAGCCGGGCCTTCAAACTCTGGACCAACTGAGGTCCTAGTAGTGGAGCTGATCACCACCGAGCCCCCCAGGGAGGAGACCCGAGCTGCACACCCCGAGGCGGTGGCAGAGGAGGGTCGCGAGGAGGAAGCTCATCCTCAAGAACCAGAGGATGTATCAGCTTTGGAGGGGCCCGTTGCCGAGCTAGAGAGTGCCCCCACGAGCGAAGGAGAAAGCATCACGAACCACGTGCTCGCAGTGCGCAAGAGCCGGGATGTCGTCTTTCCAAGCGAGGTTGTGCGATGGGCTGACATGCCTCCGAACCGGCTCTTGGGACTAGCCTCCAACCACTGCATGGTGGAAAGTATTCGGCCTTTAGCTCCACTCTTTTTTTTTTTTACTTACCTCGATTTTCTTTTGATAGGTCAACTCTGCCCTTCATGCATTGGCCTGCCAGTCCGCGATCCACTCAAAGGAGGCACGGGATGCCAAGGTGGAGGTACGAAAGCTCCATCACGAGTAGGACCTAGCTCGGGGCGAGGTACTTCGGGCTAAAAAGGGGACCGAGTGCTAGAAACAACTGATCCTGGACCAGGAAGGATGGCTCTCCACGCTGACTAAGGAGAACGCAAAACAGAAGGAGTTGATCTCAACAATGACCGAGGAGAAGGAACGGCTTCAACGAGAAGTCGAAAACCTTGAAGCAATGGTCTAGGAACGAACTCAGATCTTCAACACCGCCATCCAGGAGGCGCGGGAAGAAGAAAGGAACCAGGCCGTTGAGCGCTTCAAGGAGTCCTTGGAGTTCCGTGCTCTCCAGGTCGAATATGGCTCAAGCTCCTACCGCTCCGGGTTCAAGTTGTGCAGGTATCTGGTCTGACAAAATTTCCCCGATCTCGACCTCGGTGCCATCATGATGTCAGGCTTAGCCCCTGGAGTGGCCAAGGCAGCGAACGAGGAGCCCGACTTGTCAGAGGAGGAGAGCGATGACGAGATCGAAGTGGTGGACCCCTCGGATAAGGTTGGCAGTCCTTCTGCGTGATTCTGGCTCTTTCTTCTTTTTTCCCTCTTTTTGAATTATGGATGTACACCCCGAAGCTATTGAACTCGGGCAATAATGAGATCTTTGTACTCAATCTTTTCATCAATGAAATATGAACTTTTTGACAAATCCTTGCGTAAGAATATTCTAAGTGTGAGTGACTCCCGATCTAGGCAGCGAATGTATAGGTTACCCGAATTGTCGAGTTACCGAGCTGGACAATAA